CTCTCTCCTCTCTGACCCAGATCAGTGGACCATTCCCTGCCCGGATCCTCTCTCTCCACAGACTTTGGCAGCTGGCAGATGGTCACGGGCTGTGGCAGTATTCAGGAACGGGCTGTCCTGCACACAGACTCCTCTCTCCCTTTCAGCTTCCCGGATGAGCTCCCTAACAGTTGTCTGTAAGTGTCTTGCTTGAGAAGGCAGGATGCTCCCCTGCCCGTACGAAAAGCTGGTGAGCAATCAAGAGTGCTGGTCAGGAATGAGGCAGAGGCTGGCCCTCCGCTCTCTCAGCTGCTGGACCCCTGCAGTACGAAGGGGGCCTGTGGGCTGTCAGGAAGTACACTGGAGTGTGTTCATTCTCCCCAGTCTCTAAAACCTGTCCATGGTGTCTCGGGTGTACCCTAAGGGAAAGCTGGCTGGATTATAACTATAGAAGATTCTATTTCTGTACAAGCCTTTGCCTGACATGAGAATCCTTTGAAAGCAGAACAGTGGGATAGTGAAGGTGGGTGTATGGTGGAGGCCAGAGCCAGAACGGTGCTGGGTTAGCCTGAAGCTGTGCTCCTTCTGAGCAGAACCAAGGCTACTTGCTGTCCCTGCCTCCCTTGTCTTCTGCTTTTGCCTCTGGGCAGGAACGAGAATTGGACGGGAATACTAAATCCCACACATACGAAACCTCTTCTTCCAAGGCTCCAATGCTGGGCTTCCAGCTCTTGTAGTACATCTGCCTGACTTAGCAGCTGCCTCTGGGAAAGCACCTGTCCCCTGCCTACTCTGCCACTTCATGGATGTCAGGCAGGGAAGAGCCTCCGGTTGCCTGGGAAGGAGGGCCTTCTCCTCAGAGGACGTGCCTGAGGGAGCCGCTCAGCAAGCCTTCCTTTCACCTCCACACCAGGGGCTAGCTGACCTGCAGATGCTGGGGACTCATCCCCGCCACCAGCACCAGTATCCGGCTCGTACCCACCAGCACTGACAGGCTGGAGGCAAGGTGCCTGGGGGAGTTGGAAAGAAAAGAGGGCCCTGGATTCCCAGCTGAGGGCAGACGGGCGGGCCAGACCTTGGAATTCCCGGATGGCACAGGCTGATGGCACAGGTCCTGTTCCTGCAGCTGGAAAGTCACCAAAAGGCTTCTGAAGCCACTGTGTCCAGCACAGCCTCTTCTGCAGCCAGACCTCTAGGCCAGCAATAAGATCTCTTAGATTATTGAAGGATTAAAAAAAAAAATTATACTTGTCTATAGGGACATCCTACTTCAGCCAAACTTGCCAAAGAGCCATCGGTGGAGGAAGCACAGACCTTCTTGCCCTTGCTTGATGACACCCCGACTCACCTGGGGTCAGCCACTGAAACAGGCAACTCCAGCTCCAGATCACCCAGCCCAGAACCTACAATTTAGGCCCCATGTAGCACTCTGAGGTCCTATCCAGCCCTCCAGTTCTGGGTGGTTCCCAGAGAAGGGCTGGATTCTGTATGATCTCAAGGCCTCCAAGATTGCAGGATGGGGTCAGGGTTAATTCCTGGTGAAGTCACAGCATGTGGGTTCAGCACTTGGACTTTGTTATCAGAGAAACTTAGTCTAAATCCTAGCTGCTCTGCTTACCAGGTGTGTCTTGGGGTGTCAACCTTGACTTTTCTGAGCCTGTTGTCTCTTGAGAAAGAATGGTACTACAGTAGCTCCATTGCCTGCTGTGTGTCCTCAAATGGATCATGTATCCTCTCTGAGCTCCAGTTTTCTTGTCTCTAGATAGGTTGTGGTCTCTGCCCCTTCTGCCTCTCAGAAATGGGGGGCTGGGGGGAGTGAGAATCCTTGTGTGTGGACCTTTGGATGTTCCCCGTGAATACAGACTACTTGTCTGTTTCTCCGACTTGTGCTATAATGAGAAGCTGAGGGAAGTACACGTGGTCTCTGGCCTATGTAAAACCCAATAAGAAAGTAAAGAAGACCTAGGGCCACACGTCTGCCAAATGCCAGGAAAGACTTCAGGGTTGTTCATAGTGTTGCAGGAATCCAATGTCACCTCCATTTTCTTAGTGCTGCTGAGAGAGCTGTTTGACTTGGCTTGGCCCTGGAGCCTGCTGCTGGCCTCTCACACACATCACTCCCAGCAGTCCACTTCACTGGGGTCCTGTCTGTCCTGCCCATACTTATCCTGGGACTGTCATTTATCATCAGACCTCCATCTGCTCCCCCAAGCCCTGGGTGCAAGTCATGGGGGTGTGGGAATTGGGTACACTTGTGCTGCCTCTGACGAATTCCAGGGAGAGATTGCCCAAGGATTGGTTACTTGGGAGGAAATTTGGAGTAAGTTAGTGGTCACGGCTAGTCTCAGTTCTTAGGCGGATGGCAATGTGAGGGCTCATGTCATGTAGGTCTGTGACCCCTGGAAAAGGGCCCTCCAGGGGACCATCAGAGGGAAAACTATGTGAGTACCTGACCTTTGGGTACAGAGGTTGGGTATAGAGCCAACACCGTGGGCCTCTTCTGTTGAAGGCTCTCTGGGATGTCAGACAGCTTTGGAGTTCGCACTTCGATAGGCCCAAGTTTGTGCACGTGTTCCCCTTCTTGACTTATAATTCCAGGGTGAGGAGAGAAGAGGGGCTTCCATCTGTGAGCAGTATCCATATAGGCCAGGGGAGGAAAAGGAGATGGAATCAGAACTCAAATCCTGGTGGAAAAGCCACCACCGTTTCAGCTATTTACCTGGAGACCACAGTGACTAATGGTGCAGCTAGAGCCCTGGAGGTTTCCAGTGGGGAAACCAGGGTAGTCAGTGGGTTCTTCTAGGGCCAGAGTTTCCTCCCAATCTGCATCAAGTCCTGGCCTCAAGACTCAGGCCTTTCAACAGCCAAAGGCTGCTGCTCGATCTTAGGAGTCTCCTTACTGTTAGGTGTAAGACTTATGCCTCAGCGTATTCTTACAGAGGAATGGAACCTGACAGCTGTTGGGGCACATTCCCTCCATCTTAGCTTCCCTCCTCCACAGTCATCACAAAGATAGCTGTTTTCCCAGCAGAAAGGTCAGAGCCCTAATAAAAGTGATGCTCTGGGTAGAAGCAGCCTGAGGCCTGAAAGGAATAGTTTTAAGAGGGGAATAGTGCCAAATATTTGGGGCCTGAACTATAAGGATGGTATGACCACAGGACAGATGCTGGCCTTCTGCAGTCAGAAGCACAAGGATAGGAAGTGTGGAGTGCGGATGAGGATGCTGGATCCTATCCCAGGATAATGTCTTCATTCTTTCCCTCCCTCCACACAGGATCGCAGCCCTGAGCAATCGAGAGACTCGGCTCCAAGAGGTTCGCTCAGCCTTCTTGGCCACGTACAGCAGCACGGTGGGGCTTCGGGCAGTAGCTCCCAGTCCCTCTGGTGCCATCGGGGGTCTCCTGGAGCAATTTGCCCGTGGCGTTGGGCTCCGGGGCACCGGCAGTAGCACCTTGTGAAGCAGCCAGCGCACGATGGCTTCCTGCTCCTCTCTCACCTGAGCCTTTAGTGGAGTCAAAGCCATGCCTGGCCAAGGGGCACTCCAAGTCGGGGGAAGTCTCACTCCCCCTTCTCCATCATGCACATGGCAGTCCCAAAGCTAAGCAAGGCCAAGGACAAGGTTTTCCAACCCCCAGCCTCTTGACTGGTGACCACCACCCCCTCTCGTGACTGCCTCCTCCCACCCACCCCAGTCTTTGCCGGGATTCCCATCAACTCTCAGAACTGTGTGGGGTTTCCCTGGGACCGTGTGGAGGCCATGATTTCACAAAAGACCCTACCTCCTAATTCTTGTTTCCTGAGGAGGCGGGGTCATCTGCACTGAGAATGAGGCAGTTTGACACAGATCACAAAATAAAATCAGTCCTTTCGAACGGCCACTCTCTTGTATCCTCATTTGGTTGCTATCTTTCTGGATCGATCTGGAAAGTTCTCAGTTGTCCTTTGTGGTGGACAAAGGGATTGTTGGGGGGTGGGGCAGGTGAAACAGGAAGCAAACTGGAGACTTGGTTGTGCCTCTGTACTCTTGAGCTATGGTAGTCCCCTCGGTGAGATGGGAACAGGTACTCAAAAGGCTTAGGAGTAGTGGTCCTCAGGCCTGAATGGGTCCTAGTCACCTAGGGAGCCTGTTTATCTGGTAAATTACCAGGACTGCCTGAAATTTAGGCTTAGAGTTGCAAGGCTCTTCATTAGGCGGGGATTGGGGTTGAGGAGACCTGCATCTTTAACAAAAATGTTGCAGGCAGCACGATCCTGGTACAGGTGACCTGCAGCCCTGCCCATGGTGGAGGGACTGGTTTCTGAAGCTTGGGGGATAGCAGTTGGTGCACATGTGTGGTGGGGGAGGCCTGGCTGAGCACCACCCTCTTCTACAGTGTGACCTGGAGTAGATTGTATCAGGAGAGTGTGTCCACGTCTCTCTCACACCATGAAGTCATGAGAGTTCATGGGCAGAGGGCTTTACACAGTGCTTTAACAGCTACCACTTACTGGTTTGATTTTCACACGAAAGAGGTCATCAGTGTGAATACCCAGAGGACAGAAATAATACCAGTGAACATTTTTGAGCACTTGTTGTGTGCTAAGTCCTTTACTTGAGTTATCCCCATAAAATTTTACAGTACCCTGAGTAGCTGCTATTATGGCCTGTCAATGAGACTGAGCCACAGAAATGTTGAGTAACTTGTCCGGGGTCACACAGCTAGTAAAAACAAATGTAACTTTTCCTATTCAGAGACCTAGGCAGGCTGGGAGCGAGAAGGGTAGAAACAAGGTTGTTGAGAGCTGCTCAGTAAGAGACGACCCCAGTGCCCACTAGTTGCCCCGAATGCTTCAGCACCACCAACAGCACCAGGGGGCTTAGGTTTCCACCCGGGAGAGTCGCTCAGGGCACACTCCACCAAGATGTGGGTTGGAGTTGGGGGTCTGGGCGAGGTTCCCCGCCAGCTCAGGGCTGTCCAATGGGGCGGGGGCCGCCTGCAGGGCCGGGCGGGGCTGTGCTGCCATCTGGAGCAGCTGCTGCTGGCGGCCACTGTTTAGGGCGGGAGCGGCGGGAGCGCACGCAGAGCTGGAGGGAGTGCAGCCGCCGCCGCAGCAGCAGCAGCAGCACATGGGCTGGCCCCGCCACTGCCACCGCCCCTAGCCCTAGCGGCCCGGGGCTCGCAGCCTCCTGCGGCACCAGCCATGTCTCTCGGCGGAGTCTCCGATCGCAGCGTCCCAGCCACCAAGATTGAAATTACCGTGTCCTGCCGGTGAGCGGGCCGCGCTGGGGAGGGTTTAGGCACTGGCACTGCCCCAGCCCCAACCGGCTCCGGGGCTCAGCCTGAACCGGGGCTGGACCCGGCGGGGAGAGGCATCGGGGGCTGGAAAATCACAGCTGAAGACAAGGGAGTCGCTAGTAGGATTGAGGAGGGGGCCTCCTTGGGCAGTCCCACCCCGCAAAAGAGGGCTTAGCCTGCAGGTTCAAGGGGTGGGTCGCGAGGATCTACTAGGAGCTGGGCCCCGAAAGGACAAAGTTCTGGGGTGAACCCTCTTTCCTGGGCCTTGGAGGCAGTGTGGGCGCGTATGCATCGAGTCCGCAGAGACACGGTTCCTGGACAGAGATTTCCGGTGCTGTCCAGAGTGCTGACAGCGCGGACCCCGGCTCGGGGTAGTAATGGGGGAAGGAGCTTCGATTTGAGCCCCATGCCTCCCTCCTCTCCCCCCAACCCCCGGTGCCTGACTTAGGGCAGCATCGCGGCGGTGGGTTCCAGTATGATCCACTCTGTCTGTCTGTTGCTTTTCTCTAGGAACCTGCTAGACCTCGATACCTTCTCCAAGTCCGACCCCAGTAGGAGGCTCCAGGACCGGGAGGGGGAACTTGGGGTCTGGGCTCGACTGAGGGGCGGGTGGGGTGGGGAGGAGGGGTGCAGGCCGGCCTGACGTCCTTCCCTCCTCCGCCCCCCACCCGCAGTGGTGGTGCTTTACACGCAAAGCCGGGCCAGCCAGGAGTGGCGGGAGGTGAGTCTGAGATCCCCCGCGCAGCCCAGAGCCGCTCCCGGAAATCGCCTGTGCCCCTGCACGCCCCGCGCTGACGCTCTCCCCCCTTGCCCAGTTCGGACGGACCGAAGTGATCGACAACACGCTGAACCCAGACTTCGTGCGCAAATTCGTCCTGGACTATTTCTTTGAGGAAAAGCAAAATCTGCGCTTCGATGTGTGAGGCCCCGCCCAGAATTCTGGCTTGGCCCGCCCCCCGACCTGGATCTGCCCGGAATTCTGGCTGGCCCCGCCCCCGCCTCGCCTCCTGGCCTGGCTCCTCCCCCACGGCTAGCTCCGTCCCAATCTGAAGGGCTCCACCTAGTTTTAGCCCCGCCCCTAGGTCAGATCCCGTCCCGTTCAGTCCCCAGGCCTGGCCCTACCCACAGCTCTGCTCCCTAATTTAGCTCCGCCTCAGTCCCCGCCCTCTCCCACATGACCCCACCCCCAGCAAGGCCCCGACTTGGCCTCGCCCCAGGCCTGACCCTCTCCGACCCTGACTCCTGTCCCAAAAGAGTCCCAAGTTGAATTCGGGTTCAAGGCCGCCCCTCCTTCCACCCACAATTTTTAACCGAGACTGGGAGCCCGACCCCTTTTCAGCCCCACCACACGCCTGTGCCACTCTCTTCCTAGGTACAACGTTGACTCCAAAACCAACATCTCCAAACCGGTGAGCAAGCGTCCCCTCGCGGACTGGCTGGGCACACAGGAGACGCTTAGATGTGTTAAACCACCCTCCTTAGAACTCCTCCTACCCCTCGACCCTGACCCCACCTTCTTCAGGCCCCCAACCCACCTTCCCGGCCCTGTCCTGCTCCTGCCTGGTTTTCCTGCCTGCGCCCCTTACTCACTGCTCCTCTTCGTTCTCGGCCGCCGCTGGGATCCACAGAAGGTGAGGCTGAACGGGGCTGGGCGGGAGAGTGTGGGGTGGGACCGTATTATCCAGAGCAGGCTTGGACTTAGGACCGACTGAGAAGCAGATTTGCCTGCAGACCCCTCTCCCCACCTCCCTCCATTAAAGCGCAAGCCAGGCGGTGGGAACGTTCTGCCGCCTGGGCACTGCCCTGGTGCAGCGGCATTGCCAGGGTCGGGCTGGGACTTCGTGCCCACAGCCCCTCCTGGTCTTGCTGATTCCGTGTCCTGGCACAGGATTTCCTGGGACAAGCGTTCCTGGCCCTGGGAGAGGTGATCGGAGGCCAGGGCAGCCGCGTAGAGCGACCCCTCACGTGAGCTGAACGGGAAGGGGTGCAGGAGAGGGGTGGGAGCCTCCAAATTCTCCCTTCCGAGGAAGCTGCTGACTGCCAGCAGTGAAGGGTGGGGTTGCCCCCTCGTCCGGAGCCTTCACTGGCTCCCGTCACCCTTGTGAGAAAGTCCAGTTTCCAGGGCTGCTGTGTTCAAGTCAGTCTCAGGCCTGACATATTCTGCCTCTTGCTCTCTCTCTCTCTCTCTTCCCCCTCACTCTTTTTCTAAGTCTGATTCAACCTTCAAGGTCCATTTCCAAGCCCCTCTCCACCAGGAAGCTTCCGCTGACTAAATCAAATCCTCAGGAATTGCCATTTGTATTCACTCACTAAATATGCATTGGCATGTTTTGTATGCCACACCCTGCTCTAGGCACCAGGGATTCATCCATCCCACAAATACCACCGTGCACATACTCTGTTAGCCACCATTCGAGGGGCTTGCATTGCAATGGTGACAAAACAAATACTGCTGCCTTCACAGAGCTATACTCTAGTTGGGAGAGGCAGTACAAAATAGATGTAATAAGTAAGTTACGTATTAGAAGATATTAAGTGCTGTGGGAAAAGAGAAAGAGTAAAGCAGAATAAGGGGGATTGGAAATGTTGGGCAGGTGGTTGAGTAGGCCTCATGGACAGGTAACTTTGGAGCAACAGTCTGAAGGTGAGAGAGTAAGCACTGCAGACATGTGGAGGAAGAATGTCCCACGCAGAGGAAACGGCCAGTACAAAAGCATGGTGCATTCAAAGAACAGCTGGGAGGCCAGGGTGGCTGGAGCCCAGTAAGTGAGGGGGAAGGCAGGAGGGTCAAGTTCGAGAGTTAACCGTTAGGGCCTTGTAGCTGCTATAAGGACTTTAGCTTTTACTCTGACACAGGAGCCCCAGCTTCTGAGCCTAGGAGTGACATGATCTGACTATGCTTTCAAAGGATGGCGCTGGCTACTGGGTTGAGAATAAACCGTGGGTGGCCAAAGGTAGAAGGAGGGAGCCCATGAGAAGGCTGTGACAGTAATCCAGTGCGCCAGCAGTGAAGAGGGGAGAAGTGGTGAGACTCTGGATATATTTTGAAGGTGGAGCCAACAGGTTCCTGAAGACTCAATATAGATATGAGAGGAAAAGAGGAGTCTAGGACAACATCAAGGCCTTTGGATTAAACAACTGGAAAGACAGAATTGCCACCAACTGAGATGGCGAAAAAAAGTGAAGGAGAGGCAAGGTGAGGGGAGGAAATCAATCAGGAGTTGAATCTGACATGTTAACTTTTATATATTTTATTAGACATCCAAGTGGAGGTGTCAAATAGGCAATATGATACATGAGTCTTAGATGTTCTTTAAGGCCATGATACTAGATGAAATCACCAAGGGAGTGACAAGTGGGGGGTATGAGAGCAAGAAAGGGTGAGAGAGCCAAAGATTGAGACTCCATGAGGATCTAGAAAAGGAGACTGAGAAAGAGCAATTAATGAAGTAGGAGGAGCACCAAGAGAAGGTGGTGTTATCCTGGAAGCAAAGTGAAGAAGGTATATCAAGAAGGAAAGAGTGACCAACCACATCAAATGTTGCTGCAGGTCTAATAACGTGAGGATTGGGAATTGGCCATTGGATTTGGCAAGATGGAGATCCCTGGTGACTCGTATAAGCATAGTTTTTTGGTTTGGGTTTTTTTTTTAGAAACAGGCTCTTGCTCTGTTGCCCAGGCTAAAGTGCAGTGGTGCAATCATAGCTCACTGCAGCCTCAAACTCCCGGGCTCAAGCAATCCTCCTGCCTCAGCCTCCTGAGTAGCTGGGACTATAGGCATGTACCACAACGCCTGGCTAATTTTTTTATTTTTTGTGGAGATGGGGTCTTGCCATGTTGCCCAGGCTGGTCTCAAACTCCTGGCCTCAAGTGATTATCCCACCTTGGCCTCCCAAAGTGCTGGGATTACAGGCATGAGCCACTATGCCCAGCCAACAAGCACAGTTTTGAAGAAGAGGTGAAGGCTGAAGAGGTTTAGAAGAGAACAGAAGCAGACAATGGGAGTCAAGGGATCTTTCAAGTTTTGCTACAAAGGGGAAAAGAGAAAAGAAGATATGACTGGAGCAGGAAGTAAGGTCAAGAATAGGTTTATAATTTTTTTTCATGACCTTTTGTGAATCCAGAGGTTTATAATTTTCTTTCGATTTTGTTGTGTTTTTTTTTTTCGCCAAAGGCTTCCACTTGAAGACATCCACTTGGATGTCTAATAAAATATATAAAAGTTAACATGTCAGATTCAACTCCTGATTGATTTCCTCCCCTCACCTTGCCTCTCCTTCACTTTTTTTCGCCATCTCAGTTGGTGGCAATTCTGTCTTTCCAGTTGTTTAATCCAAAGGCCTTTTTTTTAACATGAGAAAAATGATACCACGTTTGCATGTTGAGGGGAATGACCAAGTAGGAACTGAAAATTTAATGTAATAAAAAGAGGTGAAGTGATGTCCTTGTGCAGACAAGATGGTATGAAATATAGTACACAGCGGAGGGATAAATAGGCACATGGACAGTACATTTATAGCAACCGTAGGAGTCTTAGTTGTGTGGGTGAAAATACTGGTGGCAGGGTAGGTGTGGTGGGGGGTGGACATTCTCTTCTGGTTGCTTTAGTTTTGTCAGTGAGTAGGAAACAAGGTCATTGCCTGTGAGTGAGGATGGGGGAGGAGGCTTTGGGGGTTTGAGGACAGAGGAGGCGTGAAACTGCCATTTAGCAGAACTGGAGAATGAAGGGCCTTGGGATGTACAGTATGATTACCAAGCACCATTGGGGACCCTCTTGAGGTTTGTGGTCATGCATTTAAAATGAGATCAGTTAGCATAATTGTGTGTTTTTTCTGGCCATTTCAGTTTCACAGGTGCAGTACGGGTTAGGCAGAGAGTTGGACTTAACTAGGGCTGTGGTTCTGCCAAATAATAAGTACATCAAAGTGAGAGAAGGGCAAGGAAGAAGGCAGCATGCGAGGGAGTGATTATTACAATCATGGTCTGGAATTCACACTAGGTGAGGGGTAAAGGAAACATCAAGGAGGCGAAGAACAGTGAGGAGGCAATAGGATCAATAATTTGTCCCTGTCCTCATCACACTCCCTCTAGTTAAAGCATGGAGAGTCAGAGGTTGAAAGAGTCAAAGAAATAGTTTGTGTTAAACATGGGGACAATCACGTAGCAAGTTAGAGCCAGGACTGAACCTAGGACCCCCCGACCTAGCTTTCTCTCTGCCATCCTTTGGATCCCTGCGGGAATCATGGTTCACAGGCCCCTGTCAACAAGGTCCCTTACTACTGGGGATGGGGAGCCTTGTATGTATCCTTCAAGCACATGGAAGTGTCTCTTCTAGGATCAGAAGAGAGAAAGCTTCTCTTGTCTTTTTTTTTCTCACTCTTCACAGTCTTCAGAAAGAACATCAACTTTGACCTAAGGAACCAGCCCTTTTTCCCCTGGGTCTGGATAGAAATTCCTGTCCCTCATTCAGAATTGCTCCATCCACTTGCCTACTGGCTTTGATATTCCACCTCCCCCTAGAAGCTCCCTGAGGGCAAAGTCTAGCCTAGCTAGAGAGTGCCAACTGGCCAATTCATATCTAGCATAGCACCTGGCATATGATAGGTAGTAGGGTCTGCTTTGAAGAATATAACCATTTCATAATTGTAAAGCTTGCAAGTTGCTTTTCCTTCCATGCACTTAGTCGTATCTCTTCATTACCTGACAGGCAGTCATGATTCCCATTTCACAGAGGAGAAAACTAAGGCCCAGAAAGTGGAAATGACTTGCCCAGGGTCACACAGCTTGTAAATCATAAAATTCACCCTGAGTCCACTGACTCTAAATCCCATGTCTTTCTTATACTACCTTATGAGATGTTCACCTAAGCTAGTCTAATCCCTTCCTACCAGACTGAAGATCCGTCCCCAGCCAAGGTCAGGCCCTTCCCTACCAGGAGCCAGCCAGGACACAAGGGGACACACTCAAGGGACTGTTAGTAAATGGCAAATTGAATCCCCTGGCCCACCCAATCCCAGACTGGCCACCCCAATCTTTGTTGTTTACCCTCCTTCCTCTCACTAATAGGCTTTTTCTGCTTCCAGGGGTGTACCAGGCAAGAAGTGTGGGACCATATTGCTGACTGCAGAGGAGCTTAGCAATTGTCGGGTCAGTAAGGGCCATGTGAAAGACCAAGGAGTGCCTTTCTCTCCCCATACTCCCTTTAGTGGACTGTCTGAAGGCTACGGGCAATTTGAGCATCAACAGCCCAACTTCATCCATCCCTAGGACATTGCCACCATGCAGCTGTGTGCAAACAAGCTGGACAAGAAGGATTTCTTTGGGAAATCAGACCCCTTCCTCGTGTTCTACAGGAGCAATGAGGATGGCACGTGAGTCACTGCCATCAGGCTCCCAGGCTGGGTGTGGGGCATATGCTTAATAAATGGGGGGATCTTAGGAATCTCTAAGAGATTTGGTCCTACCCTCAGGGCAGGTTCCAATCCTCCTGCTCCCCTCCAGGTTCACTATCTGCCACAAGACAGAAGTTGTGAAAAACACGCTGAATCCTGTGTGGCAGCCCTTCAGCATCCCTGTGCGGGCACTGTGCAATGGAGACTATGATAGGTCTGCTTCAGCATAAGCTGGGGAGTAAGGGGCCAAGGACATGACAGTGGGGTTTCCAGAATGATGGTAGAAGTGTCACAATAGTGTTGGAGGGTCCTGCTCAGTGAGACAGAGTTTTGGGGCATGAAGATGGGTGGATGGGGAGGTAGATGGCTAGCCACATAGATGGATAGATGGACTATCCATGGATGGATGGGTGGATGGGTAGACTGGTAGGTGGACTGAAGATGAAAGTACAGATGAACAAACAAATGAGCAGATACATGGATGGATGGTCAGATGGAGGAATAAACTGGTGAATGGTTGGATGGGTATGTGAACTAATGTATAAGAAGACTGGTGGGTGGTTAGAGAGGAGATAAATGAATGGATAACAGATGAGTGGATAATCGGACTGATGGGTAGATTAGTGGATGGACAGATGATGGATGGATGAGCAGATGAGTAAATGGATGCACTGATAGATGAGAAGATAGGTGATAGCTAGGTAAATGAGAGTTTGATGGATGACAGGAGAGGCAGATGCATGAATGGAAAAGCAGGTGGAATAGAAAAGGGTAGGTGGAGTGACAGGTAGATTGATGGACAGATAGATGAATGGATGGCAAACTGATGAACTGATGGATTAGTGGGTGAATTAGTTGATGAATGGGCATAAAATAGACGGGAAAGCTGACCTAATGAATGAATAAATGGTGTATAAAGATGGGTGGATAGGGATAAGTGAGAGGATGGAAGGATGGATGGGCACATAGATGGATGAGTAGTTGGATGGTTATGCAGGTGAATGGATGATCAGATGGACTGATGTTATATAGTTGGGTGTTTGGTCGGGCAGATGAATGGACAGATGGATGTTTATATACATTGGTGAGTCAGTCAATGGCTGGATGTATAGTTCGACAGGTGGATAAAGAGATGAATTAATAAGTAACAGATTGGCAAATATATGGGTAAATGGGTGATTAGATGGATAGACAGAGAGTTAAATGGACTGATACAATGATAGATAGACATATGGGATGACTTAGGCATGATAGTTAGGAATAGGGTCTTTGAAACCAGGATGTCTGAGTTTAAATCTCAGTCACTTACTAGCTATGGGATCTTAGCAAGATTACTTTTTTTTGTATCTCAATTTCCTTATCCGAAAATAAGAATAATAGTACTTATTTTATATAGGGCAGTTGTTAAATTAAATGAGACAATCTGTCAAAGTGCTGAGAACAATGCCTGGAATACAGTAAGACTCAGTAAGTGGTAAAAGAATAGTAATAGTGGTACTAATAGCAGCAGTAGCAGTAGTAACAGTGGTAGGTGGTTGGGTACATGTAAGGACTGATGAATGAATAGATAGGTTGGGAAGTAGATTAAAAGATGAATAGGTTGATGGAAGGACAGATGAGTGGATGGGAAGATGATTTGCTTATGGTTAAGTGGATGAGATTGTCATACATACCTAGCCTGTTTATCTCTTGCATTTCAGAACAGTGAAGATTGATGTGTATGACTGGGACCGCAATGGAAGGTAGAACTGCCCCACGTAGTCCCTTTTCCTATGCTTAACCCAAAAAGTTCTTTATAACGTGTGATACATTCACCAGGAACCCAAAAGTAGCCTTCGGAGCCAGGAAGGGTAATGAGAGATACCAGGGTCTTGGGTACAACTGATCCCCTAAGTTGTCTCTCTGGTATACTGTCTCTTCCCTTTTCTTCCCCTTAATTTGGCCCCACTTCTGGCCCCAGCCCCAGTGCCCTGCCAAGTAGGAGCTTAGGATGGGAGAAATGAAAAGATTAGGTTTAGGCCTGGCTCCAAACCAGGAGCTACTGCTGCTCACCTGCCCCTGGCCTCATTGCAGCCACGATTTCATCGGTGAATTTACCACTAGCTACCGGGAGCTGAGCAAGGCCCAGAACCAGTTCACAGTGTATGAGGTGAGCGTTCCAGCCCTGCTCAGTTACCCAAGCCCTCCATCCTAGTACACTCAGTCCGGAGCTCCCTTCCTTTGTTTCCCACCATCACTATTACCTTCCCCCACTTAGGTACTTAACCCTCGGAAGAAATGTAAGAAGAAGAAATATGTCAACTCAGGAACTGTGAGTACTCCCTGGAGCTCTGGCCCTTCCTGGATCCTTCTGCTTCTGTCCCCACTGACACAGCATGACAAATATTAGGGGGGTAGGGAAAGGCAGTAGGCACAGATTACTTAGATATAGTAATGTTGGGCACAAGGTGCACCACTTAAGGTTTTGTTTTGGTTTTGGTTTTTTCTCACCCAGGAAAATTTACTCTTTTGCTGAATAAAAGAAAAAACACTCTAAGTTGCATTTCCCTATTTATTTATTTATAGAAGCAGGACTCCCTCTGTCACCCAGGCTGGAGGGCAGTGACATGATCATAGCCCACTGTGGCCTCCAACTCCTGGGCTCAAGGGATACTCCTGCCTCGGCCTCCTGAGTAGCTGGGAATACAGGTGCATGCTACCATACCCAGATAACTTTTTTTTATTATTATTATGTTGGAAGGACTGGGTCTCACTATGTTGCCCAGGCTGGTCTCGAACTCCTGCCCTCAAGAGATCCTCCCACCTTGGTTTCCCAAAGTGCTGGGATTACAGGCGTAGGTCACTATGCCCAGCATCCCAATTTAATATACTTTTGGAAATCCAACGATGTATCTGACATCTTCCCCTTTTTTCCCTTTCATAAACTGAACAGAGTGAGACAGGTTGGGGCAGGGGGTGGAATCATGTGCCTCCCCTCATATGCCTCTCTCCAAAGCCCTACTATGCCTCTCTCCCTTCTACCACCCTTTCCAAAGTGTCAGGGCTGCTTCTTCTGTCCCACAGGTGACGCTGCTCTCCTTCTCTGTGGACTCTGAATTCACGTTTGTTGATTACATCAAGGGAGGGTGAGTCACAGGCCAAGCTCTGGGCTGAAAGCCCGGCAATAAGTCACTCCCAGTTCTGAGCCCCAGTTTTCTTATTTATGGATGGTCAGGGCCAATGAGATCATTAAGATAAACTTTAAAACACTTGTCAAACTATAAAGTGCTCTGTAAAATGCAAAATGTTTCCCCTCTTAGCTCTCTTCATGGGGCTGCATTTCATTCTTAGCTTCCAGTAACCCCTCGGAAGATGGCTGCCAGACCAGTGGTCTTCAATGGTAGCCCCAATAACCTGACTGGGGCCCAGGCAACAGTTATAGCCAGGAAGGAGGAGAGGCTGAGGGAGGGAAAACCTAAGCAGACTGTAGGGGACATTCTGTTTGGTTTGGTGGAGGCAGGCCGGCCTGGGAAAGGTACTTTGCTTCTCTGCACCTCACTTTTCTCCTGTGTAAAATGGGGATATTAATTACTACTTCAGGGCTACAGTAAGGCTTAAATTAAATTACATATAATGCACTTGTCACACAGTAGATATTGAATTCTGCTACCCAAAGTGTGGTCCATGAGCCAGTAGCAGCAGCATCACTTGGGAATTTGTTAGACTCTACCCCCAACCATGAGCCCCAGGTGATCCAGATACACATTAATGTTTGAGAAATACTGCTGTAATAAGTATTAGTTCCTCACTTCTCAACTCATCTACTTCCCCAACAGGACACAGCTGAACTTCACAGTAGCTATTGACTTTACAGCTTCCAATGGTGAGGCATGGATGGGGGATTGGTGGGGGTGGGGGGCGGAATTCTAAGGGAGTCACTAGGGATTGGTCTGGATTCCTAGCTTGGAATAAGAGTTTACCTACCCAAGAAGCCCAGATTTAAGTAAAAACCCAGCCAGGATGGTACTGGGGTAGGAGTGTTGGAGGGAGATTATTGGGTACAAGGGTGCCAAATATAGGACAATAGGTGGATGGGTGTATCAAAGAAAGTTGAAATGATAGATAGCTCAACAGGTGGATGAGTAAATAGATGGATGGGAGAGAATGGGGGTATAAGGAGAGAGAGATAGATGAATAGGTAATGAGTGATGAACGGATGGGTACATTGATGAACAGAGTGGGTAGATGGGTTGGTGAGTGAGTACAATAGGTACAAGTGGATGTAGGGATGGGTAGGTGGGTGAACAAATGGACAGATGTTTAAGTTGAGAAAGTAACAGGTAAGTAGATAGGGGAAGGGATGAGTGGATGGATCCATATGAAAATAGACAAGTGAATGAATAAAATGGAGAGGGACAGCTGGATGGATAGATGGATAAAATAATATTGCTGGATGGATGGATAGAAAAGAAAGAAAAATGGCAGGTGAACAAGTGAATGTATGTATATATGGATGGATGGATGGATAGCTGTATAAGAGAATGGAGAGGTGGGTGGATAGAATGGATAGGTAGATTGAAAGATGGATGTATGGCCAGGTAGATGGGTGGATGGATGTATGGGTAGGGTGATAAATGAATGGATAGATACAGGGATGATTGGGTGAATAGATGGATAAATGAACAGATGGATGATTGGATAAAATAATAAGGGAATACATGGGTAGAGGGTGGATAAATGGATATAGGTAGATAGATGCATACAAGGATAAGCAGGTGAACAAAAGGATGGTCCAGGTAACCATGAGGCTGGGGCTCCTGTGTCCCTACAGGGAATCCCCTGCAGCCTACCTCCCTGCACTACATGAGTCCCTACCAGCTCAGCGCCTATGCCATGGCCCTGAAGGCAGTGGGAGAGATCATCCAGGACTATGACAGTGACAAGCTCTTCCCAGCTTATGGCTTTGGGGCTAAGCTGCCCCCAGAAGGACGGATCTCCCACCAGTTCCCCCTGGTATGGTATGGGCCAGAGCCTACATTCCATGCCCTGGCATCGGGCACACCCAAGTTCATGAATTTCTTCCATTTACATTTCTTCAAAGGGCAAGGGCCTGCAGAAGAGCAGGAAGCTATGAGAGGGTGGCAAAGCAGGGAGGGGAGCAGGCCTGGGTTTGGAGGGGAGCATGAAAGACACTGATGGAAAAAGGGAGTGAGCTGGGATCAGAGCACTCCTGGGTATACCCTGCATGGGTTCAGCCTGGCAGGGCATATTCTTTGACAGAACAACAATGATGAGGATCCCAACTGTGTGGGCATCGAGGGTGTGCTGGAGAGTTATTTCCAGAGCCTGCGCACAGTGCAGCTCTATGGGCCCACCTACTTTGCTCCTGTCATCAACCAGGTGGCCAGGTAAGGGAACTGGGTAGGGGTTGGGGGAAATGAGGGCAGCCAGATAGGGAACTGACTCCCCAAGGATAGTCAGGACCACTCTTGTGTGAACTTAGGCACTGGGGAGAAAAGGAAAGATTTGGTGTTGGCCAGGCTGTGGTACAAAGAGGTTATATAATACATTTGACCCTCCATATCCATGGGTTCTGCATGTATGGATTCAACCAACTGCAGATAAAAAATATCTGAGAGGAAAAAACCCAAGAGTAAAAAAATATGAATTTAAAAACAATATAGTATAACAACTATTTATACAGTATTTGGGTATTATAAGTAATCCAGAGATGATTTAAAGTATATGGGAGGATGTGCATAGGTTATAGGCAAATACTATGCCATTTTATATAAGGGACTTGAACATCTGAGGATTTTGGTATCCATGGGTACTAACCCCCCCATGGATACCAAGGGCTGACTATACCTTATTGTGGGCAGAGAGGGTGTCAACAAACTACCCCAACCCCACTCCCTAGAAACGACAACCCAGGCCTTGAGTTAGGGTAAGAGAGAGAAGAGCCTGTAGCACAATGGTGAAGGCACAAGCTTTGGCATCAGACCTGGGTGTGATCTTGGCTCCACCACTCACTAACCACGTGACCTTGACCAACTTAGCTTCTTTAAGCATCCATTTCATTCCTATAAGGTGGTGTAATAATGGATGACAATAAGCAGCTGCTTCTTCTTCTT